CACTAGCAGCGTTGAGCTACCTCAACGCCTGAATCTGGACGTGTTTGTGGAGACGTGCAGTTCAGGAAACTCAACACCATTTCTGCACATCTCCGCAAAAGCTTCCAGATTCAGGCGTTGAGGTAGCTCAACGCTGCTAGTGGGACTTGGCCCCTGGTGCAGCTGCCTTTCGGCGGAAACACAATTGGGGGGACATCACATAGCAGCCGGTCTCCCAGAAGAAAAAAAAAAGAAAGAAAAAAAGAAAAAGAGAAAAAGAGAAAAAAACAAACGATACGGTCTGTGAGGGACTGCCTACCCCTCCCCAGGATATATGATGGGAGAGAGAGCCCATCCTGGGGCGAAGAGAAGAGGTCCCCACCAGGCCTGAATGTGGATGGGTTGTAAGCACAGATGCAGAAAAGCAGATGATGAGTTGCCATTTTTTTTTTTCTTTTCTGCACCTGTTCCCACTACCGTCTTCTGCCGAACATAACGCTCCCTGATAATGAACGTACACAACCGATATCTCCGGTCAGGTTCAGCCAAAATGAGGGTGCGTTGTGTTCGGCGGAAGACGGTAGGGAGTGAAAAGTACTGGAAGCATTGCCTGCTGCAGTAGGTCGGTCCCACTAGCAAAGAGGATTGGATTTGAAAAAAGGTGAATCCGGAGGTGTTTGTGGAGAGGTGCAGAAAAGCACAAATCAATTGCGATTCTCTGCACATCTCCACAAACATGTCCACATTCATTCAGGTGTTCAACCTAATCCTCTTTGCTAGTGTGCCTTCCCCCCAGGTTTCAGACTACCCCCACCAATTCCTACATGTATGGAAAAAAAAGATTCTCTGAAACCATCAGAAAATGTCTATATACTATATTATAGTATTTACATGGGAAAAAAAAGATTTCTGTTAAATTCTGGATACATATGAAGGCACTAGCTGGGAAAGCTAGGAAAGCGCTCACAAGTAGATCACGAGAGTGGAGCCACCAACTTCTATATGTATGGAAAAGAATAACATCTTCTTTTTTTAAGAAAAGAAAAAGATCTATGAATGCATCAAAAAACATTTCTTTTAAAGCTGTCTTCTGCTCATCCGGGGCAGCCTATATATTGTGACGATATATATATATATATATATATATAAACAGTTTGTCACAGCCCCTCATTTGT